AATTCATACTACTCGTAGTACTACTTGTTTGTAGAATGGGCATTACGTGGTTATTCCACAGTAGTTGATTGTCTTCGACTCAAATGTTCATTGAAATTTCGGTTCTGACCCTAAAAAGTCATGTCCCGGAGATTTAACTCCAAGTTCTGCACTGATTAATTTCCGAAATTATTCACCTGATTATTCTCTGGAGTTCATATACCAGAAACCGCTAGAGAACGCTGGGGGTCCCACTGAAGAGCCGAACCCCTCGCAGCTGTGTCACGCAGCGGCAGAATATCGGCGAAACACGTGTCTGGGCTTTTAGCAAGTATCTAGGTCGGGAGTACGGTATAATACCTTTACAATATATATATATATATATATATATATATATGAGAAGATAAGGCGATCGCAGGAACCATAGGTATATTTGCCTGACGTTTCGAAGGCAAACAAGCTTCCATCATCGGAGGTGGTTTGCGTACTGCACGTCACAGTATTTATGGGTTTTTTTTTTTGTTCTTCGTGCTGGCGTGTCACTGACTGCCAACGCGCTGCATCTCAAGGCTTGGCGATTTGTTGTCATGGCGGCAACGGTTCCTCCTCATCCTTTGTCGGGTGTGAGAAGGGGAGCGGCATCAGGGCGACCGCGGCCATTGCTCTTGTTTGCATTGTCCGTTGTCTGCCCTCCGCGCATCTCGCCTTCCTGCCCTGTTCGCACACGTCCGTACCCGTGTGGACGGTGGTTACCATGCTAGTGTCGACGTCGGGCTGGGGGTGCCTGTCACTGTCGTGGGTTCCCGCCTCGCTGCCCCGTTCATACCTGTCCGTAACTGTGTTGATGGTGGTTGTCATGCTGGTGTTGACGTCGGGCTGGGGGGTCCTGTCACTGTCTGGCGCTCTCCCCAGGGGCTGGCGTCTGTCTGTGCTCGGGCCCAGAAGGCGGTTTCCTAGGTTTGTGTTCGTCGCCGGTTGTCCCCTGGTTTCGTCGGTTCCCGATTCCTGTCTATGCCCGTCTGTGTTCCCGCTGGGTTTGGGTTCGACTGCTGCCGTCTCTGGCCTGACGCCTCGTCGGTGGCCCTGCTTATTGAATTTCGCCCGTAAGGCTTGATAGGCGGCCGGCAAAGTTACGCAGCGGTTAATCGAGGTAGTTGTGGTGTGCCAGGCTTCGAGCGTCTCCCTGACCGTTTGATCGCTCCCTTGGCCCAAGACTTCGGCGTCTTGGAAGGCGAAGGCATGGTCGAAAGCCGCGCAATGTTCGGCCACCAGCGAGAGCTGATCCATTCTTCTCACCGCTCTTGCATGCTCGTCCATGCGGGTCTGTAATCTCTTCCCAGTTTCCCCAACGTAGTTGGCTTCGCAGGAGGTACACGGGATCCGATAGACAACATTGGCGGTTTCGCCTCGTGGCAGGGGCGTTTTTGGTCTCATGACCAGACGTCTTATTGTCGCTTCGGGTTTATGGGCGATGCCGATACCCAATGGTTGCAAAATACGAGCAACTGCCTCGGAAACATTCGCAATGTATGGCAGCGCTCGCCAGACTTTCGGCTGATTTGCCGTTGACTTCATGGTTGTTCTAGACAGTCTGCTGCGTTCAATAAAGCTGCGGGGGTAACCGTTGGAGGTGAACATCCGCCGTAGATAGTGGAATTCGGCTATCTTGTCGGCCGGTTCGCTGCAGTGAGTGTCAACTCTCTTGTAAAGAGATCGAACACAGCTTCGTTTGTGACACAGCGGATGATTGCTGTGGTAGGACAGGACCTGGCGCGTGTTAGTGGCCTTTCTGTAGACCGTCGTTTTCAGGCTCCCGTTGACCTTGTGATGGACCAGAACGTCTAGAAAGGCGATCTGATTGTTGTTCTCTGTCTCCATGGTGAATTGAATATCGGGAAGAACAGAGTTCAGTAGCGCGTGAAAATTCAGTACCATTTCCCATTTGAGAACGACGAAAGTGTCGTCCACATACCGCGCCCAAAACTTTGGTTTGTATGTTGCGAACACCGACGTCTCTAACCTTTGAAGAACAGCTTCAGCGATAAAACCGGATAGTGGTGAGCCCATCGGCGTACCTTTGATTTGCTCGTATACCGTCCCTTCAAATGTGAAGAATGTTTGGAGGCAGTATTTAAGCAGTTGGACAAGGTGTCCCCGCTTCGGGGTATTGTTTGCCTCCGTGTATATATATATATATATCAAGTGAATAATTTTAGAAATTACTTAGTGCAGAACTTGGAGTTAAATCTCCGGGACATGACTTTTTAGGGTCAGAACCGAAATTTCAATGAACATTCGAGTCAAAGACAATCAACTACTGTGGAATAACCTCGTAATGCCCGTTCTACAAACAAGTAGTACTACGAGTAGTATGAATTCCATATGGTAAAGGTATTATACCATACTCCCGACATATATACTTGCTAAACGCCCAGACAGAGTACGGCCGTTGAAAAAAGTTCTAAAACGTCTCATAGGAAAGAAGCAAATATCAGGAGATATTGCCAAATTCTTACGACAAACTGAACCAGCCACTGCAAAGATCTATGGACTACCTAAGATTCACAAACCTGAAATACCACAGCGACCGATAGTATCGTTAATCGGTGCACCTAATTACAAAATTTCTAAATGGCTATTCCACAAACTCTATCAGTTGACAAAGGATTGTGAAACAACAATCAATAATTCAGCCCAGTTTCTGGACAAATTACAAGGACTGAGAATCGCAGCAGATGAAATAATGGTATCCTTCGAGGTCGTTTCTCTGTTCACCTCCATACCATTGGATTTAGCAAGACAATATACAGAGGAACGTCTCCAGTACTACAACATGGATATCCCTGCATCTGCTTTGTTAGAACTCTTAGACCTTTGTTTAGAAACGAACTTTTCATTCGCACACGAATACTATCAACAGCTGAATGGGGCCCCTATGGGATCACCCATCTCCGGTTTTCTCGCAGAAATCACGATGCGGAAATTAGAGGCTATCGCCTTACCACAAGTTAACCCCAAATTATGGGTACGATATGTTGATGACACGTTTGTCGTTGTTAACAGTGATCAACTGGAAATACTCCACAATATAATAAACTCAAAACTTCCAGGAATCACATTCACACTAGAGAAGGAGGCTGAAAACAAACTCCCGTTTCTTGATGTCCTCGTACAGAGAAAGCCTGACGGGACATTTCATACTTCGGTTTACCGCAAAGAAACCTACGCGGAAGTCCTTTTGCATTACGAGAGCAATCACCCGGTCTCTCACAAACGGAGTGCCGTGAACAGCCTCCTTAACCGAGAAAGAACTCACTCCTCCGACAGCAAAACATATCAAACAGAACTGAAGTATTTGTTCAAACTGCTTTCCCAGAATGGGTATCCTAGATATTTTGTGCACCGACGCATGCGACGACAGGAGTTAAAAAAAACAGAGAAGGGACTAGATTGTTCCGATCAGGCGCCCAAACCAAAAAACGGGCGAACACTTCCGTACATGAAGAACGTGTCCGAACTAGTTGAAAGACACCTGAGGAAGCACCAAATACATGTGGCGCACAAGCCGACGACTACACTTCGTAATCAGCTTGTACATCCTAAGGATAGGGTTGGCTATTTAGATAAGAAGGAAGTCGTCTATAAGATACCATGCAACACCTGTAATGCAGTTTACTGTGGTCAAACTGGGAAATCAGCCTCTACGCGAATACACGAACATCAGTTGGCCGTAAAAGGGCGCGACCACTTGTCCCAAGTTGTCATGCATACGTTGGAAACGGGACACAAATTCGCCTGGGACAGGACTCGCATTGTAGGTGTCTGCTCATCCAAAAAGTGCCGTGAATTTTTAGAGGCCATCCATTTTGATAGCGCATGCATCAATCGACACGTAGAATTGGATACGGTGTACAACAGCCTCAAGGAAAAGTGGAAAAGGCGTTAGCCAATCAGAACATTACACCAGCAGGAGTGACAAGACAAAATCGGTTTTTTCGGCGTGTTTAAATTTTAACTGTTTTTGCACACTTACTTCACGTCTGAAGACGACTTGGGGAACCAAGATCGAAAATTTACAATAAAACCCCGTTCGGAAACTGGCAACCGCCTTGGTGATGGCACACAAACCACGCGCAATTATCACCACAACGAAACAGGATGCTCTCAAGAAACTGAGAGCCGACACGAGCATTGCGATACCGCCAGCAGACAAAGGGCGTTCTTTAGTTGTCTTGGACAAGACTGATTACATTCAGAAGGCCAACAACCTTCTAGATGGTCGACAGGCCTACCTCCGATGTGATGATGAGCCGATGAGGAAGCTGTTTACGGAGTATGACAAAACGCTTGCCCGTTAAACAAATAGATGCAGGCACAACAAGGTTCTACGGACTACCCAAACTGCACAAGTTCGATGTCCCCCTCCGACAAATCGTGTCAATGTCCGGCGTGCCAACACTCAATCTGGTTAAATGGCTGTTCCGACACCTAAGGCCTCTCATCTCAGGCGCAACCACAACGGTCTGTTCAGCTACCCAGTTTGTGGAACGGCTTACGGGAACGCGCCTCACTGCAGACGAGGTCATGGTGTCATTTGACGTCACTTCTCTCTTTACTTCGATCCCGCAGGACCTGGCCATTGAAACGGTCAGCGAATTGCTCGAGAAGCAGTATGACGAGACGGACAAGTCAGTGAAGCGGAGACATCTAGTCAAACTCTTCGAATTTTGTCTGAAGACTTACTTCACCTTCGAGGGAACCATGTACGAAAAAATAAGAGGGACGCCGATGGGATCGTCTCTCTCCTGCTTCATCGCTGAAGCGCTTCTGTAAAAACTAGAGAGCCTGGTTTTCACAACTCGCATGCCAAAGTTTTGGACTCTGTATGTCGTCATCATCAAGCGAGAAATGATCGAGGAATTTCACACTGTCCTGAATTCCGTCTTCCCGGACATCCAATTTACGATGGAGGCGGAAAGCAACAACCAGCTGCCGTTTCTGGACGTTCGTGTCCATCAAAACCAAACGGGCACATAACAACGACGGTGTATAGGAAGGCTACCAACACACGCCAAATCCTAACCTATCACAGTAATCACCCGTTATGCCACAAACGCAGCTGTGTGCAAACTCTCTACAGTAGAGCAGAAACACACTGCAGCGAACCGGATGACAGAGACACAGAACTCCCCTACCTTCAGCGCCTTTTCATAGCCAACGGATACCCCCGTAACTTCATCGAGCGTCGCAGGCAGTCTGAACCAGGGCAAACTCGGGTGACAGAACATTCAAAAGGCTGGTGTGAACAGCCATAAGTCGGCGGCGTCTCTGCAGCAGTTTTCCGCCTCCTAAGACCCTTGGAGATCGGAATTGCTCATAGACCAGATTCAATCATTCGACATTTGGTTATGAGACCGAAGGCCCCCCTGCCAGGAGGTGAGACGACAAATGTCATCTACCGGATTCAGAGTAACTCTTGTGAAGCTAACTACTTCGAAGATGCAGGCAAAAGGCAATAAACCCGTGTTAACGAACACATGCGAGCATTGAGGAGAACGGACCCACACTGCAAATCGGGCCCGACGAAGACTCAGTCATCAATACTGCAGCCTCAACCACTACGCCGACAGACGGGGAGAAACGCGGTCAGAGGGATGCAATCAAGACTGACAACTAAGGACGGCAACTAAGGTCAGCGCGAATGTGGGCGATGGCCACCAACGTTCAAATGTCGCCCCCCGGACGAGACATGCAGATTGATAGCAGTTACCCTCCCTCCCGCTCCGCTCCGGCGACTACAGAGAAGATCCCCGTGCGTATGCGGACAATTAGTGCCAAGGTCGATTAACGACTCCCCCGTATAATTAACACCGTATTAACATGACTTTAATCCATCCCCCCCTATAAACACTGTTTGACGCCGTGTGATACTTACCTCCGACGATGAAAGCTTGTCTGCTTTTGAAACGTCGGGGCAATAAAACCATAGTTCCCGAGATCGCCTCCTCTTCTCATATATATATTGAAAAACAGACATCCCAAAGATGTTGTTCAAGGATTGTTCGAGGAACGGAGTGATTGTTCGACGACAAAGACCCCTCCTGTGGAGGACGCCTGTCACACGGCCTGCCACACGGCCGGGCAATTAATTTGACGCAACAACCTACATAAAATTAAGTTCTTCTACGGAAATTTACAAAGCCTCTTGAACAAACTCAACGAACTTAAAATAATTGTGGCCGAACTATGTCCTGATGTTATTGTATTAACTGAAACGTAGCCCACCCCAGATGTCACAGACCCCCAAATACAGTTATATGGTTATCAAGTGTTAAGACGAGACTGAACCAAAAAGCGAGGTGGCGGAGTTGCCCTGCATATCAGCAATGCGGTCGAATATAACCCTGTTGAAGAATGTGTAAATGAGCATGATCTGGAGATGCTGCAGTGTCATTTGCTGGTCCCCAAAGCCGACAACGTTACTATCAGCGTGTTATATAGGCCTCCAAATCAACCTGTCGACGAAGACCAAGCGTTAATCACTCGACTCCGCGAGGACAGTCGAAGGCAAAACGTTATTATTGTAGGAGATTTCAATGCTCCGCGGATTAACTGGGACCATATGACAGTTAAGGGCCACAGACAAGGATTCGACCAAATGCTATTAGACATGGCATTTGATGAATTTCTGTTTCAACATGTGCGAACTGCGACTCAGATGCGTGAAGGCCAGAGAGCTAGTTGCCTAGACCTTGTGTTTACC